GTTTTTTTTTTTTTTTTTTTTTTGGCTGATTAGTATTGCATAGAGTATATGTACCACACTTTTTCAATCCATTCCTCAGTTCATGGGTATTTGGGCTAGTTCCACGTCTTTGCAATTGTGAATAATGCCATGATAACATATTTTTTAAAAAATAAAATAAAGATCAAAAGACAAAATACCATCTCTAATCAGATCCATTTTTCTTAATAAGACAAAAGAAACAAAATTACAAAGCAAAAAGTATCTAATTATCTTTTCTCATTGCTACTGTATTCAGAGTCCAGCTGCACTGTTTGTCTACTCAGAAATTCTATAATTTATATAAATAATCTTTTAAAAGGCCAGCAATAAATATTCAAGAGATTTCTGTTATCTGGGTTAACTCCAAATAATATAAATACCTTTTAGAATGCTTTTATTGTTCATTGAGTAGGAATAAGAACTTTTTTCTTTTGTAATAAACATTTTTAAAGCTGGAGTACCATTATTCACAATTAAATAGATTCTGTGGGAAAGGAGCCCAATGTCAGAACTGAGAAGTCTGTTTGGGCAACAATTTTTACTTTTTTTTTTTTTTTTTTTAGAGGTTTTTGCAGGGTGTGTGAGCTTGCCAGAAAGACAGAGAGTGACAGAGAGACAGAAAGCGAGAAATCAATCCCCAGAGGGGATGGCCACGCCACAGTCCCTTCTCCTCCTTTCTCCTCTCGGGATCTTGGGCATGCACATACACGCACCTGGCGTGAGTTTAAGCAGCCGGGTCCAGGACTTGAACGGCGGTCAGCTACATGGGAGTCCAGTGTCATAGACATTATGCTAACTGATGATCCTTGTTTGGGCAACAATTTTAGCAGTGGTGAGATATCCTGAACTTCCAAACAATATCTTAGAGTCACCATAGTTTCGATCTTTTCTACAAAGTATTTCAGGCTGGCACACAAATGGGTCACGATGGCATACTTTTAATTTTAAGATTCTCTTTATCCTTTTTATTATGCAATTTATCTGAGTGAATTTACTCATACTAGCTTCCTTTCCCACTCAGAGGTTGAAGACACTTTAATATTTATCTTTCCTGAGACTTTTTTTTTTGTAGGATATAAGCCATCTGGTTTTCTACATGAATACCAAATCTATTAATTTCAAATAAGAGTCATTAATACAAGCCCAAAATTGCACATTACTCAAATTCCTCAGTCCAGGAAAAGATGATAAATGACTGTTTATGTTGGTGAATTCTTAAGGTTAATAAATAAGGATGGTAAATTTTCAGAGTACAAATATCAAAAAAAGTGTTTTCTTATGGATAAAAAACATAGTAAAGGGACCCAGAGCTAGCTCTTAGATTATATGCTTTTAATATGGAATGGATAACTGAACTTGGAAACCAGTGACAATGAACTGAGAAAGTCATAAGTTGTTGGTCCTGGGTCAATAAGCAGGAGTAGTATTTCAATAGTTTGCGAGTAGGACCTTTTAGGTTATATATTTTGATACTGGCATCCAAGGCTTCTAATCAATTAAACAAAACCAACTTGGAATTCATGACCTCAACTTTAGCGATCAACGGACTCTGAAATATTGGTTTATTTTATAAAATACATCTACTTCTACCAAAATGTCTCCAGAAAACAGAGCAGTCATACCACCAAAATGGGAGTCTTCCTCTTCATATCTAGGAGGGTTTACTTCTTAACACCAATTTTTAATATTTATATATTTTAATCCTATTCCTTTATTAGCATAATAATAAGTCTTTGATTTCATTAGAAAATAGGTACAATATCCATCAACTGTTCTATGAAATCATAATTACAAACATGGGTGAAAATTGTTTCAAATACCCAAGTATATACTATACAGCATTTACTTTTCTAGAATACTTTCTTCTTTTTCTATTAAAGTTTTCCACAATGTATACTTATTTTTTTTACTTCCTGTACTGTTTAATCTCTATTTGTAATTATCCTCAAAGAGGCACATACTTAGAAGATAAACAATCTTTTCTGCAATATCAATTAAATGAAAAAGCAGAAATGGGGACCAGCAGTTAGAGTAATGGCTATGTCGTTGGACTCCCATGTAGTCGACCATGGTTCAAGTCCCAGACCCTGTGGCTTAAACTCACACCAGGTGTGTGTGCATGCATGCCCAAGATCCCGAGAGGAGAATGGAGGAGAGGGGATTGCGGCATGGCCATCCCCTCTGGGGGGTGATTTCTCGCTTTCTATCTCTCTGTCTCTGTCTGTCTGGTGAGCGCATGTGCCTATAGCAAAAACCTCTCAAAAAAAAAAAAAATAACAGAAATGACTTGATTGACAACTTTTAAAATTTACAAATATTTACTAAGTAATAGAATTTTCAGATAACACATGCAGTTCATGTTATAGAAGGAAGAATAGTTAATTTTTCTACATCATATACTGCAATTAGATTAATTCATGAATCATTTCTTTTATCAATCCAACCAAAATCAAGAAACATTGACCCTTAGCATTCGAAGAACATGCTCCCTTATTTTCTTGGTTCTCACTCCGTACACAATGGGGTTGAGAAAAGGAGGCACCAATAAGTACATATTTGCAATAAATATATGAATATGTGCAGGCACATTTTTCCCAAAACGGTGAGTGAAAATAGAAAATCCAGCTGTGGAATAGAACACAAGAATGACACAGACATGGGAGCCACAAGTGCCCAGAGCCTTGAAGCTAGCTTCTCGGGAAGGCAGGCGAAATACAGAGCGAAGGATGAAGGCGTAGGAAACAGCAATGAGAATGGCATCACTTGAGCCAATGACAGAAGCCACACTGAGGCTGTAACGCTTGGTGGCTCCTGTGTCCATACACGCCAGCTTCACCACAGCCATGAACTCACAGTAGGTGTGGGCAATGATGCGTGTTCTGCAGTAGGGCAGCTGCTTGAGCAGGATGGGGTGAGGAGTAAAGAAGGCTACTCCTCGAATCACCACAATGATACCCATTATGGCAATGCGAGTGCGGGTGAGAATAGTAGTATGGCGTAGAGGATTGCAGATGGCCACATAACGATCAATGGCCATGGCCAGGAAGAAGCCCGATTCCATGGTAGTAAAGCTATGGATGAAGAACATTTGAGTCAGGCAAGCATCAAAGGCAATGTCCTGGGCTCCAAGCCAGAAGAGACAGAGCATGCGGGGCAGTGTGGAGGTAGAGAGCACCAGGTCAGTGACCGAGAGCATGCACAGGAAGAGGAACATTGGCTCATGGAGGCTTCGCTCTGCCCTCACCACAGCCAGGATGGTCACGTTCCCCACCACTGCCACCACATACATGGAACAGAAGGGAATCCCAATCCAGGCATGTAGGTGCTCTAGTCCTGGGATGCCCATCAGCAAGAAGGTGAGAGGGAAGGGACGAGAAGTGTTAAGAGGAGGCATAATTATTTTTTTCCTTTGCTCTAGCAGTTCGGATTTTTATTTTTGATTTAATTAAATGAGTGCTAAATTCACTTTAGGTAACAAACCCGTGACTTGCTATATTTTTCAACTCTGTTTCATTGTTCATTTTCCAAAATATTCTTGTTACATATCATTTTCTTTTATTTTCTTTTATTGCTTTCTTAATTTTAGCTTCCAGAAAGATCTTTGTCTACCATATTCACTGTTTAGAATTCAATATCACATATGGTATATACACAGTAAATATTAAAATACTGGATTTAGGGCCACCAGAAAATTACTGCTAACAGAGGATATTCTTCAGATATATAAACATCAGTGAGGCAGAAAATTACTTGGAGCACTGAGGTATCCTTCAAAGGCACGTTAGGTTGAACTTATTTCTATGAGTAGTTTTCATGTCAGTATTAACCAGACTTTACCTTGGACATACCAGGAATTTTGGAATACTTCTTCTTTGATCTCTCATTCAGTATCACTTTTAGTCAAAAGAGTTTTCTATAACTGGAAGAGATTAAGTAGAGGCCCTGTGAAAATTTCAAAGACTTATTGAAAGAACCCTTGTTTTAGGTAGAAGATTCCACAGTCTATGTTCTACTTTATTTATTATTTAGGGAGTAGAAATAATGGTCTCTGTCTCTTTCTATATGAATAAGATATTGAAATCCTTGGTGTGGCTCCTAAAATAGAATTAATATAATCTATATCTTCAAGCTGTAATTTACAACTCTACATATGTAATTAATCTGACAAATATTGGGTTATCAGGAAAATCATAACACATTTTCACACAGAAAAACAGAATAATACATCATGACTTTCCTAACAACCCAGTAAAATACCATGTGGTTATGTTGTTTGTTTCCTATTACTTATTTATCCTTATCACATACCCTTTAAGTAGAATACACGAAATGTTCTTTTGAACTAATAGATATACCTTGTTAGGAAAAATGTATTTCCTAACATTAACAGCACTAACTGCCCTCTTATCCACATTTATTCTGAATTATTTCATCCCAATGCACAACTGGATCTTTATTGTACTCTTTCATTTGCTGATTCAGAAACCCCCACACTGACACATACAGAGCAATCCATTTGTTCTTGGTAAATTGACCTAATATTATCAGAGATGTCAGTTACTTACTTAAGCAAATTTCATTATACTTCTCATAGTTTCAGTGTATTGTCATGTTCCCCTGGCAGAAAAGCCCCGGGATGAAGTGGTTGAGTACAACGTGGGGAAGCTAAAGAAAAAGGACTGTGATTCACTACACATGCTTAAGTTGTAGAAAAACTTTTAGTTACTGCTTATCTGTGTTTCTCATTTCCTTCAAGGCAGTAACCTTAGGTAGTATTGCCATCTGCCCTTTAGGACAATGCTTTCCCTAGGTATCAAACAAATCCTTATAAATACAATATATACTCATAAGAACTTATGAACAGTTTTTTCTAAATATACTTTCCAAAAATCATGCCAACATTCTTGTGCTCTTCAAATATTATCATTAACTAAAGAAATACCTTCTAAACTTCTACATTTACTAGATTCTCAGATTTAGTTTAGTGAAAATAACTAGAACAATGCAAATATAGCATCTTTCATAATTTAGCTTCATGAAACAGCTTTAAATAGGCAAGACAGTGGCAAGGTGGTTATGGGGGCTGGATCCCACATGACCCATAGCACAGTTCTAATCTTAAACCAGTGGTTTGAAAAACAAGGCAGACAGGTATGCCTGCCTGCCTAAAGTCCCTAGAGAATAATGGAGGAGTGAAGACTGTGGCGTGGACACCTCCTGGGGTAGGGGTACTTTCTCACTTACTTTGCGTTTCTGTCTCTCTCCAGTGAGTGCACATGGCTTGTATAAAAACAAAAACAAACTTGAACCAAATAATTTAGTAGGCAAAATTTATCTTGGAGGGGAGGGAAGAATGATTTATATGGCAATACTATCAAGGGACCAAGTTAAGTTTAGTGAGTGCTCTTGACAAAAGAGCACTTAGCTTGGACAAAAGAATATACAACTTTTGTTTGAGAGTTGAATAGACATAGAGACAAAGTAAATAGGTACAGTTACAGCACACAAATATGTATATCCACATGCAGACACATAATAAGAAAGAAGCATAAAGTTCCTTGAAAACAATCATGAAGCAATTAATTAAAATATAGTTTAGGGGACTATATGTACAAAGATATTCACATGATATGAAATTATATGGGCACACAAGGGTCTTCATATAGCCATGAGTAATCACATAGCCCATGGACTATTTCATAATCAAAACTTTAGACCAGTGGCTGTCATTCACTAGATTCTCAATAAGTACATGCTCTTAAGCTAACTGCTGGTGGTCCCCCCCCCACCTTTTTTTTGGAGAGGTTTTTGCTATAGGGTGCATGTACTCTCCAGAAAGAGGATCTTAATAAGTACATGCTAGATACACAAACGTGATTTGGAGCATTTTAAGAGCAGAATTGGATAGAAAACACACTCACAGATGCACATATTGGTTTACAAAACACTTTTTTTGGTACAAGCACTCATGATATAATTTCTATGACATCATCTCTCTGAAAATGCTAACCTTTAGTTGAGTCCACTGGTGATGAGGTTTTCCATATTTTGTTCCTTAATAGATTAAAACAATATTAAAGTATGATTACAGTAAGAGATAATTGCTTCTGTGTTATACATTTTTAAAGATCTATCTTTTTAAAAATCTACATTTTTTTCTTCAGCTCATCATGGAGAATGAGAAATGTGTATTCCCACTTCAAAGATTCCTATCACCTCCCTTGAATCCAAGTCATTTGGAAAACCAGAAAATATTGTTTGAGAGTGACCCACATCACTTAATGCTTTGCTCATGCAGGACAATCTCTTTCCTCCACTCGTCTCTTATTCTGTAAAAATCTTAATTAGTTCCTAAACAAACTAATTCAGCTCCAAGAAGCAACCTAAACCTGTAGCTTCTATACACAGCAGTTTCATCAGGATAATCTCAGAGGATAAATGAAAATACCATTTGACACAACAGGTCTCTATGGAATCACTGACAGAAGAGGGAATTTTTTTTATGGTTGATGATCATTAATAACCAATAATTTCCAGATAATAATTAACCTATCAATTCCCTTAGGTGTATATGTACAAATATAGTTCTCCTTCAGTAATTTAATATAATTTGTTAACCAATTAAGAGTCTCATTTTAAAGAGAACAGAAAAGACACAGAATACATTTTTTAATTTCTTTACCTAAATTCATTTCAATATCAGTTTAGGCTATAAACATTATATACCAGTAAGTGGAAGTATTTTATATATCTTTCTAAAAAATTATTTATTTATTTATTTTAATTTGACCAGAGAGGGACAGAGTGAGAGAGAGAAAGGGAAAGTGAGAAAACAGGCCACTAGCTCTGAGACTCAGCCATAGTTCACCATGTAAGAGTCCAGTGCTCTTTACTATACCACCACCTGCCGGGCCCATTGGTGTGCTATATTTAATGTATAGAAAGAAAACAGTACATCACTGAAGAATTATATATCTAGCAAAATTATCCAAGAATCAAAAAAAGATCATCAATCCTATTAAAAGATGGGAGAATGAGTTGAAAAAAAACACTCTCTAAAGATCTAAAGATGTCATAGGAATAGCCAAAGACATATGAAAAAATGCTCCACATCCTTCATTGTAAGGGAAATGTAGATTAAAACAACAATGAGATACCACCTAACTCCAGTCAGAATGACTAAGATTAAATATATATATATATATGATAAGTGCTGGCAGGGGTGGGGTGAAAGGGGAACTCTGTTACACTGCTGGTAGGAATGTAAATTCGTCCAGCCACTGTGAAGAACAACTTGGAGATTACTTGAAAATCTACAAACAGAACTAGCATATGATCAAGCAATCCCACTCCTTGGTATCTACCCAAAGGACAGAAGAATTCTTAATCAGAAAAGTGCTTGCACATCAATGTTTATTGCGGCACTATTCACAATTGCTAAGACATGAAACCAACCCAAATGCCCATGAACAGATAAATAAATGGATTAAAAACTGTGGCACACATACTCTATGGAATAGTATTCAGCCATTAAAAAAATACCCTGGCTTTTGACAGAAAGTGGAAGAATATGGAAGATTCCCCGGTGTGATTTGAAAGCCACTGGATCTGGGACCCAAACTGCTGTTGGCCGTGTGGGAGTCTAGTGATGTAACCTCTACACCATCTGCTGGTCCCCTGTATTACAGACTTTAAAAAACAAAAGCATAAAGATAATTATAAATCCATTTTAATGGGTATACGAGTGTAAGGAAGGATATTTAGAAGAAAAATAGAGAGGCAAAGCATTAATGGGACAAAGAAATGTGGTATTATCTGTTGAAGATACTTTTATAGTTTTATCAACTGGTCTAAGGAGAAATGTTCACACATTGAAATATTCAGCTTGTAAAGCAAATAATGTGATTGAATGTAAAAGAGAAAATGAAATAAAAAATGTTAAAAAATAAAGGAACTATCTTGAAGTATTCAATATGATGCTATTAGCTATAATCACCCTACTGTGTCCTAGAGCATCCAGATATACTTGTCTTATCAAACTGTAACTGGATACCTAGTGACTGTAATCCTTTCTCCTCCAATTTTCCATCCATCGGGATCCTTATATACCAGGGCCACAATTCCAACAGTAATTAACCTGTGGGGCCTGGCTTCCCTTCATAGCACTTACCTGCTGAGCTGTAGGGCTATCACCCTCCTTCTGTTTAAACCTTGCTATTTCCAATGACCTGTCTTCAAGTTCACAAATTCTTTCTTCTACTTGATCAAGTCTGATATTGATGCTATAAATTGCATTTTGTTCTGTCATTAAATTCTTCAGCTGAAAGATTTTTAAAAGTTTATTTATGTATTTCTTTTAAGAGATTGAAAAAGGCAAACTTCCAACAAAGTTCT